CAGGCACTGAACCCTGGACCTAGTAAAAGTTAAACAGACTAAAGCTGAATGCCCCACAAAGTCCCTTATTACTTTTTTATTAGTCATCAGTGTTGTTTCTAACACTTCAGTGTGAACTTGCTTATGTGCAAAGAAATTTGTGGACCAAACATTTAAGACAGAAATCATTTAAGGAAAGAGTTTCAGGAATTTAGCTGAGTTAGGAAAACACAGAGGTGTATGTGGTGACATTAAAATAGTTCTATTCCAGCTGTTAATGCAGGAAGAAAGTTAGCAATTTTACAAGAATACACAGAATATTTTACCTTAACCTAGGTTAAAAATGATTTGTTCAGCTCTGCTCTCAAAACGAGGTACATTTTAGCAGACAACACTGCAAGAGATTCCTGAATAAGGACGATTTTACTTATAGAAAAGTAGAAATATGTTGAATTAACAACTGTGTGTTGAGCTTAAGGAATAAATAGCACCAGGGTAGTGAGTCCTCATGAACAAGAGAAGAATCTAAGATGGCAGAGCCTATTTTCCTCAGAGAACAATAAAAAAAAAAAAACTTGTCCAATAATCCTCTAACTTACCTGTAATGATACCACTAGCCAATCCAGGAATGCCCTGGATCGAAGTGACATTATTGTGAACAAAGTACTCATCACAGGTGGCATTGAAAAATTGACTTGAGTTACAGAAGAAGCCCCACAACTTTGATGGGACTGTCAAGTTATTAATTTCCTTGGTCTTAGAGCAAATGTCAATGTGTCTTGATGAAAGGGTACGGTTACCCAGCATGCAGACCCTAAGTGAAAACAAACAGAAAGATCAAGCAAGAAAAAAAGGAAATAGGTTAGTTAGCCAAAGAGAAAATACCCTTACCTCTAAGAGCTTCTTCTGTCATGGGTGGTAAAGGAACTAATACTTATCGACCAGCACTATGAATGGTGACTTAACATTTTCGGCCAGTTTAATTCTTATAGCAATCTCACAATGTATTAGTTTTTCAATTTTCTGGATGGAGGAAACAAAGTTTAGGGAGATACAGTGTTCTGCTCAAGGTCATACAGGTGATAGGTAGCAGTGAAAGAATTCAAATAGAAGAACTGTTCAAAGATACTATGCTGACTCATCTTCCAAAATTTTTATGCTATTAGCCGATTGTTAAGTCTAAAAGAATCTTGGGGTCCTTTTGTTGTTCTTATTTTTAAAAAATGCTATTTTTTTTGCCTTAGGAAAGCCTTCTATTCATAACAACCCCCTTGAAAATGTTATGCTAAAAGTTAAATCTTATGGCTACTGTGTAGTGGAAGACAGCTTGGTTAGAATTAAAAAGCACATCCCTCTATAGCCTAAAAGAAAACTGTTTTTGAACTTAAGCCTAGACCCAGTGGGAGTGAAATTAATAATTTTATTCAAGGGATCATATAAAATAATTATGATTTTGAGCCCTGCTTTTGCTATCAATAATTCAAATAATAAAAAATATATCCCAGTGAATAAATAGATACATGCAAAACATTTTATTTCATGCGGATAAAGATATGAAAAAAGATAAACTTTATTTTACTTTTTCTCCCACTGGTGAAAGTCTTGCCTATAAGACTTTAACTTCTTGGTTGAAGTGGTAGAGTGGTGGTGTTCAGGCAGAGGGATAAGGTGTAGGTAGGCAAAGGACACCTCAACCTTTCTGTCTAATATTCATAATAAAAGGCCAGAAACAGGTTAGCAGTCAATCACCTAGTTGATTCCTATAGCTGACTGATCTCTCAGAAGCTTTGATATTGAAAAACAAAATAAACCCAAACCTATATCTCTTCCATACTGTGGACCACACTAAGTCATTACTCACCAGAAAAATTTCAATGGCACCAAGGATATACATGGCTGCTGCAAAAGTGGTACCAAGATAAAAGCAGAGGCCAACAGCCCCACCAAACTCTGGGCCCAGTGCCCGAGAAATCATAAAGTATGAGCCCCCAGCTAAAAGACAAAATAAAAGATGAACAGGATAAAGAGAGCGCTTTAGTAAAAGGAATGTAAACAAATCATAAATAGGAAGAATAAAAATACACACGAAAGATAAATGTTTCAGGCTTCTGAAAATCCTGAATACGATAAAAAGATCTGCTAGTGGGAAGTAAAAAATGAAACTTTTATAGTAGGAGATACTGCACATCTAATGCTCCACATGAAGCAGTACTGTTTGCCAGTATTACTTACGAAAAAATCAGAGAATGTTTACTACAGGTATGAGATAGCCCCCCAAAATATATTCTAACTAAAAAAAAGTTAATAATGGGTATGAAATTAAAGTATTTTAGTTTACAAAAGCCTAAGAAAGAGATTTTAAAGAAGGTATCCTAAAGTCAAACAGTATTAGTGTCTATGTCCTATAAACCATTATTCTGTGGTAGCACAGAACAGACTAAATAGTATTCTATTCCTCAAAAGTTTGCACCACTGGCTTTATAGCATAAACATATAATAATCACTGAGAATCCCTGAAATCCAACCTTGGCCTACTGACCTGGCACCACTCCATTGGTGGCAATGGCACTCATGGAGATAGCAGTCAACATTGTCTGTAGAGGAAGAGAAAGGAGAAGATTGTTATATTGTAAAGATGACATTTCTGTACTACTTTCCCATCTGTGGACTGAACTCAGAACACTAATCAAACATTTAACTATCCCTACTTTTATAGAGGGAGTCGGCTGTCATAACTAGTGGTATGAAAATTAGATGATGTGATCCATCTAATTATACTAGTCACACTAACATCTGGATTATTCTGGTAAAATGCCCCTATGCCATAATCAGTGGGATAGGTACTGTTAAGAACCACTAATCTCACTCTGGATCTCCTAGTTAAACAGAAAATAAAGCATAACATATTCAAAAGGAATAACTATGGAAACAACTTGGAAAATAGATTAGAACCTAACTAAAGACTAGCTACAATACCAAGAAAAATACCCACTGAGAAAGGGAACCAATGAAGACCTTTGAGCACATAATAACTGTATATTAAAAACATTACCTGGTAGCACAGTATAGAATGGACTGCAGATAGGGAGTAGCTGGAGGCAGAGTGATCGGTTAGTATACTACTATAATAGTTCAGTGAGAGGTAAAAACTACAGTGGTGATAATGGGAATAAAAAAGTTGAATATAGGAGATTTCGGAGAGAGAATGGATTAGCCTTGGTAGCTGATTAGATGTGAGAGGCAATCAAGGAGCCAAATATGGCCTTGCAGTTTCAAGCCTTAGAAACCAAAAAAAAGAAAATGGTGGTACCATTAATTTTAAGTTATTAATGATATGGGCTATGTCTGCTTAACTGATTTTGTATAGTATTCAGCTGAGCATAATGCACAGGGAGGGTATAATGGTGATAGCAATAAAAGAAGACAGTAGAAAACTATAATAAAATTGATAGAAGTGGCCAGAATACATAAATAGGAGGAGTTTAAATTAAAAGGAAATCAGAATGCTCTCAGTATAGTGGAGAGAAGACCTAGAAACACCTGAATTTTAAAGGAAGGAATAAAGGACTTCAGAACAAAACAAAACAAAAAACCTCAAATATCCCTCACCCCCCAAATAACTCTGTTTTGTTTCTCAATATACATTGTAGTACATTACAGCTCAAATGGTTTGGATTCTGAATTCTTTGAAGACAGGGACTTTATCTTCTACTCCAGTTGAAGTTTTGCTTCATAACTTCTAGTACATCATAGAATATATAACAAGCAGCAAATAACAGGCACTAAATTACTGAAAATCCTTCAGATTTTTATATCAGAGTAATCTCTCCTGTTGAGATCATGAGTCTTTCCCTAGTATTCTTTGTTTTATTCCCAAAGAGCTCAAGTGTATATATTCTTGAGAACTTGCAATGTTCTAGGTGATCTCCCAGGAGCCAACGCACGACTTACACAGCAGCAGCAGATAAGGACAATTGCAAAGGCCTGAAGAACACCAGCTGTGCCCACCACCCATGTAAGACGTAGAAAGAGGATCACTCCAAAAATATTTTGTAGACATGGGAGGTAGACACCCATGAAGGTACCCATCTGGAGGGTCTGGAAAGAAAAATGTTGACAGAAGAAAAGATTATATAGTCATCCAGAAGAGATGCTTTTATTCTTTTATATAAAAACTTGCTCCCTAACTACTATATTCACCTCAAGGAAGAGGTTATAAGTTTAAGCAGTATCATTGAAAGTAAACATATAAAATCTCCATCTTATACATTTTTATCACCATACTTTTATTGTTCCTAGAGTTATACATTTTTGCTTTACATAGGTTTCCACACATTTTTATTATACATATGCATGTGAACACAAATAAACTTTTAAGTGTGTCCCCAACAATTTAAAATTTTCTGTTCTTCAAAGCTGTTATCTTTCTCTATTTAAAAACAGACTAAGAACTTGATGGAATTCCTTCAGAATTTGGCATAAATTCTTCACAGTAGTTGATAAATAAAGCAGATGGTAAAATGAGGATCTGAAGACTGTTTTGACCCTTTTCAAAGAGCTGAACTACCAGAATGCTAAATTCTATATTGTCTCATATTTTCATTTTGAGACAAACTGATACTTGGTCTTTAAAAAACCCAACAACTTCACAACAGATTGCATGGGCAGATGGACATGGACGCTCTTCTCTTGGAGTGTTCTTCCCTCTCCCTGGAATGCTCTTCTCTCTCATGGCTCACATTAGTTAGGTCTCTGCTCAAACATCACTTTGTCAGAAGCTGTCTAAAGTAGCAAGCCCCTCCACCCCAGTCTCTTGCCAGTCTCAGTCTCTTTACCCTGCTTAAATTTTTGTTAAGGTATTTATCAACTCTTACTATGTTACATATTTTAACACAGTTAAAAAGCTTAAGGGCTATCTCCTCACATTAGAATTTAGACTGCATGACAGCCAGGACACTGTACATTCCGTTTGTGCTGTGATCCCAATGTCCAGAACAGTGCTTGACATATATCAAGAATTTAATAAATAGTTACTGAACATACAGTGATGCCCTGGATATTTCCTCCTTTTTTATATATGGGGCTCTTTTTATTTACCCCTGTTATTCTGAGGCCTTACCTTGGTGGGCTTCTTTTTCCCTTCAGTGATGTTTTCTGCCTCTTCATGTTCCTTTGCTCCTTGTGTCAGATTAGTGTAATTGGCCATGCGGTTGAGGAGAGAAGACACCTTTGGTCTGGTGTCCATTTCTTCCTATAAAGCCAGAAATATGGAAGAAATGAATTATGATGGACACTGAAAATAAGCATCAAAATAACCTCTCTTCCAGAATCCTGCAAAGTAAATAAGAAAATATTTCACAGGTAAATATTTTAAGAAAATTTATCAATGAGACTTCATTCTCTTCCCACATGAAAAGAGCACACATAAAGGGCAACATCAATCCTTATAAAATTATTTTTATTAACAGACAAAAATTGAATATATTTATGGCATATAACTTAATGTTTTGATGCATATATACATTATGGAATGACTAAAATCAAACTAATTAACATATCTATCACTTCTAATACTTATTTTTTTTGTGGTGACACCATTTAAAATTTACCGTCTTAGCAATTTTCAAGTATACATTATTTTTAACTATAGTCACCATGCTGTGCAATAGATCTCAAAAACTTATTCCTCCTGTCTAACTGAAACTTTGTACTCCACGGCTATCTCCCCATTTCCTCCCTGCATTCCCTCCTCCTCCCCGTTCCCCTGGCTAACTACTGTTCTACTTTCTGCTTCTATGAGTTTGACTTTTTTAGATTCCACTTATAAATGAGACCATGCTGTATTTGTCTTTCTGTGTCTGGCTTAATTCACTAAACAGTGTCTTCCAGGTTCATCCATGTTCTTGCAAATGACAGGATTTCCTTCTTTTTAAGGCTGAAAAGTATTCCAGTGTGTGTGCGTGTGCCATTTTATTTGCTCATTCATCCGTTGATGGACACTTAGGGTGATTCCATATCTTGGCTACTGTGAACAATGCTGCAATGAACATAGGACTGTAGATATCTCTTTGACATAGTAATTTTATTTCTTTCGGACATATACCCAGTAGTGGAATTGCTGGATCATATGGTAGTTTTATCTTTAATTTTTTGAGGAACCTCCATGCTGTTTTCCCCTTACAAAATACTTAAATGAAAACTTTTATTACTCTTTCTAATAGCTATGTAAGTTTATCTACAATAAAAACAAAATTACTGGCCTGTATATAACCTATTAAAGAACATTGGAAATATGACCCTTCAGTGCCTTCTTTTTTGGTTACTAACATTTATGGTTATTATTTATTGGCACCAAGCATGGACAGGTTGAGCAAAACCTTTTGTGACTGAACTAAATCTCAGACCTTTGCTTGAAGGTCTGACAGAAATTATTGTTTAAAAAATAGGCACACTGAGAAAAAAGGCAATTGTATCATTGCCCAAAGCCAGATAAAGGTAGTGCTGGAATAAACCAGGCTCCTTATAACAACCTGGTCACAGATGCCATCAGAGTCTATGTTGTCTTAGTCAGACAGACATATAGGTACTCTTCAATATACTAAGTGAAATAAGCCAGGCAGAGAAAAACATACCGTATGACTTCATGTTAAATTTAAAAGAAGTAAAGAACAGTATGGTGGTTAACAGAAGTTGGAGGTGGAGGGAGGGATGGGAGATGTTAGTCATAGGATGCAAAATTTCAGTTAGAAATAGAAATAAGTTTTTGAGATCTACTGTACAGCATGGTGATTATACTATTTCAAAACTGCTAAGAAAGTAAAATTCAAATATTTTCCACAAAAAATAAGTATATGAGGTGATGGATATGTTAATTGGCTTGATTTAATCATTACACCACATACACATATATAAAAGTATCACATTTTGCCCCATCACATTTTATCCCATAAATATATACAATTATTATTTGTCAACTGCAACAAAAAGACATACAGGTCTTCTTAATCTGGCAGCCTGCTTTCTATAGTGATTTTTGTTAAGTTAGTTCTAAGGTGAATAATAGTCTTCTCAAATACAGGGTGGAGAAATACACTGCTTTATACTTAGAAGGAAGATAATTCCAATGAAAACATTTAAATCATAGCTGAGTTAGATTGCAAGGTTCTCTATACACCAGAGAAATTAACCCTTCTCTTCCTTACTTCATAGAAATTTGATTTAATGGCTAATCATTATAATCACTATAATTTGATTTAATGGACAAAGTTAACTACAATGACATTACAACAATAACTAACGTATTTTATTTTCTTTAGTTATTAAATTATCCAGCTTGTACTATTTTAAAACTAAATGGGACAGAAAACGGCTATCTTGAAGTCTCTGTTCTTGAGGTCTCTAATTTTTTCCCAAATATTACCTCAAAGAGTGCCAAGTTTTTATCAAAATATTCATCTCCTTCTTCATAATTAGAATTACTGAGATAAGCATTTCGAGCTTTCTTATGCCCATCATCTGGAAAAAAAAATAAACCAAGTTAGTTTCTCATTGGTACTGAAGAAACAACAGCATCAAATAACTGTATGTGTATTAATAGAACCCATTTTCATATTCAAATTTAATCTAAGAGTAGTAGAACTAGCACTGCTTGGAGAATACAGTCTCCTCTCCAGCAGGAGCAAAAACAAATCTCTAAGAAGTAAACATGGATCATTCCTTTTCTAAACAATACAAAGACCTCTGGAGACACTGTTCTTTTCTGATTACAGACTGTAGAGACCTTACTCATAAAGTTATGCAAATCTAGGATTGGAAAAAAAAAGAAGAATATTTATTGAGTACCTACTCAGTATGTAATACTGTGTTAGACATGCGCAATTTTACACAATATTGTTGTTGATAATCGCAGTAGAAGTTTTCTGCCTCCAGGGCTGTCCCAATCTTTGTAAATTATATTAGGTCATTTACTAAGTATTTTTTTGTACGAACCCTTCCACATATTTCTTTTATGTTAAAAGAGGCACCTGACAGGAATTTAGTGAACGAGTTATGAAGAAAAAAAGAAAAAGAGACCGGGTCCTTAAGACAGCAGAATCTGTGTTATCTATAGAGTCTGTTAATGTATATATAATTACACAGTCTGGTAAAAGAGAAGAGAGAAAATAAAAAATTATACAAACACTCTTAAGAACTAAGATTTTTAATACTGAGGGAATAAATACCAATATAAAAATTTTAAAAAATTATCTAAAATCTAATAACCTTAAATATATAAGATGAGCTTGGGAAATAGCCAACAAGCTATCAAAATGACTGGGTCATGTCAAAGGACATAAGAGCCAACCTGCAAGGATTCCCAATGGCCAACAATGGGATAATATGAGCACAAAAAATAAATAATGCAAATGAACTGAAATGCAAATATATGAAATATCTAATATGATATTTTAAAAAATTAGTCACCTTTGCACAGTTGTTAAAGAAACAACACATAACTGAAAAAATGATAAATGAACTGGCTAGCAGCCAAGGAAAAAAAAAGGGAAAGAATCAAGCAATTATCCAGCCTTTCTTGTGCCAACTGTATTTCAGAGTAACCACATAGTTAAAGAAAATTTCTTCATTATAGATGCATCCTAGCCAATTAATGATAGATGGAATGACAGGATTAGAAAACCCCCCCACCAGTTTGCAACCTCTAACGAAATAATGAATCTAGGCAATGATCATCAATAGCTGTTAAAACCATTAGGTGAAAGGCTGAGACAGAACTTTACAATAAATGTATCATGTTGATCTGGAACCTGCTGACCAATCTTAACATCACTGAAAGTGACACAGCACAATCTCCTACTGTAATACAATGAAAACTATACCATGCAATCTATGATGTTTTCTTACCAAAAGAATAAAAATTAAATTTAATCAAGCCTCTAAATCTAACTACCAGTTCACAGAAAACACAAAGGAGGAACATATTAAACATTACCACAAGGATATAATCGCCAAATTCAGAACGTGGGAAATGCTACATGACAAAAAATCTGATTTCTTCAGAAAATAAATGGCATAAAGAAAAAAAGGTGAACTCATAGATTAAAAGAGACTTGAAAGATACAGACATATCAACCAATTGCAAGGTATGAATCTTGTTAGGATCCTGACTCAAATGAATCACATGTAAAAAGACACTTTTGAAACAGAGAAATCTGAATATATACTAGTTATTTTTTTAAAAGGTTAAGTAAAATCATATAATACTGGAATTTTCTTTAAAATAGTCCAGGAAAAAATTACGGAGCCTTGAAAATAGATTTGCAACATTGTCAAAGTTGGGTGACAGGTTCATGGAGGTTCATTATGCCATTCTACTTTTCTGTGCCTTTGACATTTTCTATAATAGTTATAAAAAGAAAGGAAAATGTTATTAATTTTTCTCTAACGGCTCCAGAAAATTCTAAAGAGGGTGACACACTTTAAAATCATCACCAGTTCTGAGTAATTAATTTATTCAATTAATTCAACAAATATTTATTAAATTCCTATGATGTGCTGAGTACTGTTCTAAGTCCTGGGGGTATAGCAGTAGACAAGACAGTTAAAGACCCTGCTTTCACTGTGCATATATTGAAGTCACAGAAGACAGAAAAAAAAAAAAAGACATTTCAAGCAGTAGTAAGTTCAATGAAGAAAATGAAACAGGTGCTGGGATAGACTGTGATTGGGGAGGGGAAGGACAACCTCAAATAAGATCATCGATGTGCTGACAAAGCAGGCTCTCTAGAATTAAAATCAACCAACAAACCTCTTATTTGTAGTCTTTGCCAATTTCTGTGGTATAAATACTCGCACATGGTCAATTTTAAACTACTAATGTGAAGACACTGAACATGATTTGGGGAAGAGATGCACACAATTGGCTCTTCTGAGCTAATATGAGCTGGCTGCAGCACACCCCTGCCAGGGAATAGTCATTTTAAAAGACCCTAAGGCAGAGACAATCTTAGTAAATTCATAAAACACAAAGAATATTATGGGTGAAATAGAGTGAGGAGATGAAAAAGTAATCAGGAAGAGAGGAAGGAGCCAGACCATGTAGTCAGCAAACAAATAGTTCTTCCAAATCCATTTATTGAATAGTCACTCCTTTTCTGATTGACCTATTCTAGATAATAACAACATGACGGTGGTTAGTGCAGGGGAGACAATGATATCAGAGTGTGTTAATATTCTATATTTTGGGGGCATGAATAATACAGACAGTATTTTTTTTTAAGAAGAGATTATAAAGAAGCAGGAAAAGTGGGACAAACTGAAATAATTTAGGATGGCACAATGGTTCAAATATATTGATAGTACCAATAATTATAATAATGTAAATAGACAAATTCACTGGTTAAAATAGGTAGGTTGACAGACTGGATTAAATAACAAAATCAAGACATATTGTTTATAAGAGACATAAGGATATGTGAAAGCTGAAAGTTGAGGAAATAGATATATTAGGCAAATACTAACCAAAAGAAAGCTGATATAATTTTATTAATATCAGATAAATTTGTCTTTCAGGGAAAAACTATTAGGGATTAAAGGGTACCACATAATAACAAAAGGTTTAATTCACTACGAAGGCATAACAATTTTAAACATACATTTATTGTCTGTTTATTATTTCTTTTTTTTTGGCAGCTGGCTGGTACATGAATCCAAACCCATGACCTTGGTGTTACCAGCACCATGCTCTCCCAAGGGAGCTACTTGGCCACCCCTTAGTTAACCTATTTCTGTGTAAGTTACCCCCAAATTAAGTGGCTTACACAATACACATTTATTATCTCACAATTTGAGCTGGGTTTTCAAAAATCTAACAATCTGTCTTTTTAACTGTTAAGTTTACTCCATCAACCTTAGCGAGTGATTTATCTGGAGTGGGTTCTACCATCATTTTATTTGTTCTTCGTATTATCTCACAATTTGAGCTGGGTTTTCAAAAATCTAACAATCTGTCTTTTTAACTGTTAAGTTTAATCCATCAACCTTAGCGAGTGATTTATCTGGAGTGGGTTCTACCATCATTTTATTTGTTCTTCTTTCTCTATGACTCGTTTTCTCTTTTTCTGTCTCTCTCTTAGGAATTTTTGGGTTTTCCTTTGTTCCATTTTTTCCCTCTAGTTTCTGCGTTCTATTTCTACTCTTTCAGCAATTATCTTTGAGATTTTACCATGTATATTACTTAAAACAAATTGTTAAATGCCTGAACAAAAGCTTGACATCCTCCTAAACACAAAGACTTTTGAACACTGGACTTCCAATTCTTTCTTCCTAACTTACCTAAAACTGCTGTCCAGTATTTCCAGTAGTCTTTTTAACTCGACACATAAAATACTAAAATTAATTTATAGAGACAACATTGATTTGGTCTAGGTACATGTTTTCCATTTCATCTATTCAATACTTTTGGTTGCATTTCAGACTTCTTGTCTTCTGGGACCATTTTCCTTTTTCTTGAGGTACATTCCTCAGAATTCCTTTAAAAGAAAGTTTCTCAAATTCAGCAGAATGAAATATTGAACCAAATAATTATTTGTTGTGGGGGACTGTCCTGTGCATTGTGGGATGTTTAAGAGCATCCTTGGCCTCTACTCATTAGATGCCAGTAGCACCTCCAATAGTGACAACCAAAAATGTCTCCAAACATTTCTAAACTTCCCCCCGTGGGGGGGGGGGCAAAATAGCCCCACTCTTTGAAAACTACCACTTTAGAGCAAGCCTGGTGGTGAAAAATGTACTCAGCTTGTGTTTACCTACAGTTGTTTTTATTTTGTGCTCATTCCTGAGTATGTTGCTAAGTACAATTTTAGGTTAATAACATTTTTGTGCATACTTATATCTTTCTGCCTTCTGTTTTGCTGTTGAGAATTCCACCGTTCTCTTGTTCTTTTGATGATCTGTCCTTTTTCTCTGGCTGCTTTCAAGATATTTTCTTAGATGTTCTGCAGTCTCATTAAGATAAATCTGGATGTCTTTTGTTCATAAAAACTCTTCACCTGTTTCTAATCTACTATTTAACCTCTTCATTTTTTTATATTAATAATTATATATTTTTCTTTCCTAGAAGTTACATTTGTTTTTCTTCTCTCCAGTTTTTTTCTTTCCTGAGTAGTTTGCTCATCTTTGTAACTGCATCCTAACTGGTTTAAACATTTAATAGAGTGTTGTATCCCAAACTCAAGACCACTTCATCATTCTTGAGAGTCATGGCAGTAAGAGTTCCAGCTTCAACATACTATCTCCCTGCTGTTCAATAATCTCACAATAGTGTTGCTATAAAAAAAAAAAAAAATCTGGCCAGAGGATAATCCTGCCCCATTCTGCAGCCTACTGACCAAGTCAGCTCCTAGTAGCTCTGGCTCCCCTTGCTGCAACCCTGGCACCTCTATGCTTGGACCTCACTAGTCTCAAGTTTCAGGTGAAATCGCCTTACCGTTCATACACTCTGGTCCTGGCTGTTTCTG